CAGGTTCCCTTAATATCAGCCTTTCAAGGAAAGAATGACAACCTAAACCTCTGTAGCAAATCCCATCCTCCGGTGCAAGGCATCTGCCTGCTAGATGTCCTGCTAGGACAAAAACTGAGCACTGCAAAATCCTGTCTCAGCCACCTCCTGGTGTCCCACCTCCTCTTTTGTGACATGAAAGTTGAAGCTGTTCTTTCTCTCACCAGAGCGTAGTGGGGTTATACACATTAATCGTAAGAAATACAGACGTGATAACAGGGATTTGGAACACCCAAGAAAGTCTGAATTCATATAATTCACCTGTAAATGCGTCCAAGCAATTTTCACATCTTCACTGCTGCTATGGACTTTTAGGTGAATGCAAATTCTCCATTTGTTAAATCTTGCTATATTACGTATATTACCTTGGTATTTTTCCCTTACCTAAATCCCCCACTGTATGTATTACTAACAATGTTAATTATAATGAGAATGGGTTTAGAGCAAGAAGAAATTACCTGACAACACTGAAAATGGGAATGCTCTGTGTGCTATGAAACTTGGGAATTGCACTTCTGGGTGTGAGTATTTCCATAAGAAAGCAATTATATTGATAATAGCTGACCAGTAAAATAGCCTGAATAATTTGTGTATGTGTGGGGAAAGTAGTCTAGAACAGGAATGGACATTATTAGAGGAAGCAATTAGAAAACATTAATATATTTTTTAAAGAGTTTGATGCTGAGCTACAAATTATTGCTGCTATAAAGAATGGCCTTGGAATCCAAGGCTGAGATTTCTAGAAGTATTTGCTATAACAAAAAAATAGCAAAAAAACCTAGTGGACAAGACATAGCATAGTGTGACACCCTTCCTCTTCCCTAACTCTCTTAAGATTTGGCAACATTATAATGACAGCATATTTCATGGTTTGAAAAATAAAAACCAAATGATTTTGTCATCACTGTTCCTCCCGAGACACATACCTCTTGCTCCTTCACTAGCTACCAACATACTTCAATTCTATTCTGCTCACGCAGATAATAGCAAGGACTGGTAGACACAATCCCCACGCAGCACGCCAAAGGGAGAAGCCAAAGTTGCAGAGAAAGTAAAGAACAGCTTTTTAACAACACAGCTTACATAGGAATTGGCTTTGCATTGTGGAGAGGGGTTTGGGAATAAAATCCTTGGGCCACTCATTTCTGTTCGAATCATCAGTAGGTTAACTAATGAATAACGCTGAGAATTACATGTTCATTGTTATGTTTCTGAAGAAACGCACCGAGTGGATGGCAGCACTTCACATCCCGCAACATATCTTTTCCAGGGTTCTGCAGACCTGAGCATGGGGGACTTTACCAGCTACAATGGGTTCACAGGGCAGAGGTCTTGTTTAGAAATCTAAGAGACAGAATTTTATTTCAGCTACATTTTTCTTAAATGATGAAAGACTGGTGTTTGTCTGGGTTTTTTTTTTTGTATGCAACAATGCAGCAAAAACTGAATCCTGCACCATGTTTAATGTCCCCAGAATATCAGGGTACCTGTTTAACAATGGCAAAAATAAATGTATTTCCAAAACACAGTCCAAAAATCCTGAGCCTCCAGTATCTGGGCTCCAAGGGCACCCACGGGCCTGGCTGTTCCTGCCTGTCCCCGGGCCTCTCCTACCTGCCCACGGCCCAGGACCCAATGTCAGCCCCTGCCACAGCAGGACCACGTCCCGGCTGTCCTTGCCCAATCCCCATGGCGGTGCCCGATCCCTGGGGCTGCCCTGGTGCCCTGCTCCTTGTGGGGTGGAGGGAGAGGCCCTGGCTGCCAGGCCCTGTCCTGATGGCCCCACGGGAAGCCCCTGCTGCACCCTGACATTCAGCTTGAGAAACTGGAAATATAGGACAGAAAAGGAAGAAAACCCAACATGCTCAAATAATGAAAGGAAAAACTGGTTACCATAGCGCATGTTAAGCACTTAAGCAAAGGACTGCAAGGGATGTTCGATTCCTGATTGATTTATAAGTTGTTTTGCTGGCAGCAGCCGCAGAGACCCTTTCCACACAAACCTTGCCAGGCTAGGCACGAGGTCCTCCCTCAGGCTCAAAGCCCAGCGTTAGTTCAGGCCCCACCTGCCCTTCCCTGCAGCCAGGACCCTGGGGCACCAGCGAAGGCCAGGCACAGGGCAGCTGTGGCCGCCGCCACGGCCTCAGCAGGCCAAGGGAGGGGAAGTCCTGCACACTCAGCCTCTTGTTGACATGTTCCTTTCCAGTTAACATGACAGTTGCTGTGCAGCAACATTGGGACTGTGCTTCACCAATAGCTTTGCCCACGTGTTTATGCCCTCAGTACATCAAGAGGATTGTTTATGTACAACCATATAAATGGGCAGAGCATCCCCATACAGACAGATGTGCATTAACTGCCCACCACCATGGCTTTAAGCCTTATGTAAACCCACCCTCTTGTTTCTTTTCAAAGGCTGATAGAAATGGCCACTTCCCCACCAGCTACTGTGAAACAAGGGAGGGAAGAGCCTGCTTGTGCCCTGGAATGGACATTGGTTTGTGCCCGTCACCTCAGCCAAGGATCTCCATAGACACACCCTCTTTCCAATGGATGGGATCTACAAAGGAATGCCAGCAGCCCAATGACAACAAACCACGAACAAAAATTAAGGCAAATCCCCAAAGCAGAGAGATTTCAGGATGAATCCCTGTTTCTCCAGACCTTTTTTTTTATTCCCTCAAGAGAGAAGCAGCTGCAAGAAGACAGCGAACGGTTTTTTGCAGTCATGAAGGTGAAAAAGTAGCTAAGATATATTTTTAGGTATTCACTTCATTGAAAAACAAATTTTATTCTGTGAGTGGCTCTGTTCTGACACAAATTCTCTGTCTTAGCTTAAAAATTCCTCAAAAAGGCTCTGTAGAAGGAAAAAATGCATGCAACCCTCCTGCCCCCCAACAGACACTTGAGAGGCTATTTTGGAAGAGAGTCACTCCAAGAGAAGAAACACGTTTGACACACAAGCTGAGCACTTGGGGTTCCATTTTGCCATCTTTTGTCTGCTTGTGAGCACTTGATGCTTCAGTTTGAGACAGGTACCACAGGTCCAGGTCTCCTTTCACTCCTGTGTAATGCTGAGGACATTACCAGGAAGACAAAAAGAGTGACCCAAGCCTTGTGTGAAGGGCTGGCAGGACACAGCAGAAGGTGTCTGTCTGCTTCATGGTGGTCTTGTGCTCTCTGGCATTGTGAATGAACTGCATGCCAGTCCAGCCCCACAGAGTAATTCAAAGTATTATAAAACATGAGCTGGAGAACTGCTGGCCCAGAATAGCAGACAGACAACACTAGGGCATGGTGAGAGTGAACATTTCAGCTGGAGCACAGAAAGAATTGTCAAAACTCTGTATTTTTCCAAAACTACTAGAAAAAGAAAGAGGAATGGGCATGGCTGGGAAAGCAACCTCAAACGAAAAGGAGAAAAAAAAAAAAAAAGCCACTGTTTTAAGCTCTGGAAGTGTTCTGAAGGTGAGTTATATTTTATTTCATTAAAATATATTTTAAAAACATACTGTGTAAAAGAATTAGGATTCTCAATAATTTATTATTTACATTAGCAAATTCCACTTATTCTAAAGACAGAAATGAAAAGTCTGCAGAAGGGAGTTGTATCAACTTCTTCAAGACCAAGCAAGTCCCTTTATCAAGAAACCAGTCCAAAATGCATTCCTTCCCATTTCAATCCCTTCAAATTCATGTTTGCAAAACAGATTGCAAAAAAGCTCAATGAAAGGTCACATTGACGAGTGTTGAGCACTCACATTGAGAGCTGGGATTTTGGAGCACTCCACAAGAGAGAGACCCTGAGGAGATTTTACTGTTGCACTACTCAGTAGTCAAGAGGCTGCAGGGTTCAAACCCGCTCTTGCTCCCACTGTCTTACCTCCACTGAAATCCATGGCATTACGTGACAATGAAGCCTGCACCCGGCCCCACAGGCAGCTCTCAGAAAGCTAGGCAGACTCCTTGAGCCAGGCTGCGAGCAGAGAGAGTGTTTTTCCTAACTCTGTATACACATTGTAGCTTGTAATTCTTTTTCGGTCCAAACACAACACAAATCTCATTGTCTTCCTCCCCATCCTCTGGGGAGAAGTATGCATAGGGAATTATCTCTCTGATGTAAACAACTGTAAGCACCATTCACATTTGCTGGTCCACATGGAAAAAAAAAAAAAATCATATCCAAGTGCCTGCCATAGCCTTGACCCTTCTTAGCAGGGCAGCTCAGCTTTCCCATCAGCTTTCCAGACCTCTGAAATCATATGGGTACCCAAACATCATGCACGATCCAATGCAATGCCAGCTGCTGTCTGCTTTACTATTCCAGGAAAGAGTAGTTGCTTCTTCAGTGATTATTAAAAAACCCATGATTAAAAGAAGTAAAGTGGTCAGCTCATGTGTTCTGTTTCCTGGAGGCACTCAATGGTATTTCTGACATCTCGTGTAAGGCACCAGTCATCCGGTAGCTGAGCAAAAAGCGACCCACAAGACCTCCATTAAGCAACCACAGAGGGAACTGACAAAATTCAGCTGGTTTGCTTGCCTTCTCACTTACATAGCATAAAAAGTGTGGTCACACCATCTGGGGAAGTTTCTGGTGGTATCCTAAAATAGGAAGCCTCAACTCGCACTGCAAGCCAAGGAGCATGGGTGACAGCGTACTACAGCACAAGTCTGAGTCAGAGTGGCAATTCCCACAGACACAGCAGAGATTTCCTTGATCCCCAAGAGGCCTCTGCTGCCATGGAAAATGAGTTTGTTGTCAACAGCAAAGCAGTTACCTCCATAACTCACAAGGGAGGGCTAGACTACAAAACCAGCTTTGTGGCGTACTTGCTGCAACTTCTCTGCTGCTGGTCTTGCCCACACAGCCTTATTCACAGAGATGCAATGCCAGAGATAGCAGAGCCTACAGACGAAGAGGTCAGCTGGATGCTGGCTGACTGCATCGCTGAGCAGCCTCAGTCCAGAATATCAGTCTCAAATGGGACCAGGTGGTAGTATGTCAAATTGGTGACATAAGCTGTTGGGTCATCACTGTCTTCCAGCTCTGAGGTAAAGTCACTAACACTTTCAAACCTAAAGAGAAAATAAATAAATAAATAAAACCACCAAAAAGCATTAAGTCATTAACATTCATTTAGAAAATGAAAGTCAAAGGAATTGGAAGAAAAGTACTGGGGGAGAGGGAGAAGGCTAGGGCATCTGCAGACTGACTCTTAGAAATTTTGAGAAAATACATTTGTGAGGGGACTAATCAGAAAGAGGGCTGGTACTGCAAGTTAAAAGTTCTGAGTAAATGTAATGTGTGGACTTGCTTCACACCAGAGCAGTGTTGCAGTACAAGTATTTCTAATGCTGGTTTGCAGCTTCATCTTTGTGAAGCTCACTTTGCAAGACAAAAATCTAGAGTCCCAACTCCCTTTCCAAAGCTTTGGTATCTCACTCCCTCTCTTGGCAGCCTGAAATTCAAATTCATACTAGAAATCGTCAAGGAAGGTCCATGCATATCAACTATGAATCATGAAGCTATAGTTTCTTTGACATCAGGCTATGTACCATTATGCTTGTACAACCTACTGGAGACAAGAGCAACGGCATCTGCTCTCACTTTCATAAACCAAAATTCATACTTCCTAGAGAGTTGAGAAGTAAATGGAAACCTTAAAAAACCAGCCTATTTCTTTATAACCTATGGAAATAAACAGGCTGATGATTTTTCTTTCAATAAAACAGGATGGCTATTCCCTTTTAAACCATGCTAAAACACAGCTGTGCAGCATACTAGGAGAGCACGTTCTCATCTCTTCAGTAAAATGAACTTTTATGACTCCTCTCTAGTGTGACACTGACTCTTCATAGCACTTGTCATTATAATACCTGAACTTCGTATCTCATAACACCTGGTTACCACATTGCACTTAAGATGAGCCAGATCAAACACATTATTAATTTGTTTTGAGGCCCCAGGGCTCCCCTCCTACTAATGAATTAATGATTTCCTGGGACATAGCCTTTCTTGTCAGGCAATTCTGAATACCTCTCCAATGAGATTTTAAGAGTCTAGAAAAGCTTTCACTGTGGTATGGGAAAACCTTCACAGAAAGTACTCAGAGCTGATCCCACCCACACCTCCTTCAGCCCACACACACCCCCTCACCACAGGCCAATGAGAACCACGGTGCATGCAAGCAAATATTCTTGTTACTCCTGACTTTCAAATCTATTGGTGAGAAAGGAAGGAAACAGCAAGTGAGCTCTGAAGAGCGAATCATGCAGCCAAGGTCTACATACTTCCATTTTGTTCTTACAGCTTGTGGCAGCCACACAAAATGCCTTAGCTCCTACACAAAAGTGGAAAGGAAACTGCCTTGTTTCTCATCTGAACTTGGACTCTCACCCTTTCACTTCACAGGTACCTTCTCTGGGTTTGACTTTTACATGAGGCCAAATGTCTAACAAATAGGAAACAATGACGACAGTGTCCTTCCTCCAGAGCTTTGCTGTCCTCCCCATGGCATGGGATTTAGGTTTGGACATGCAGAGAATATCCAAATATGAAGAGATTCTCAAATTTAGTTTTACTTGTTTTGTTATTTTCCTTCCCACTTCCTAACTCCTGTGTTACAACCTGAACTTTTGCAAGGACTACCTACTGTCTCATGCCTACTCCCAACCAGAAGGCATCAACTTGTTAAAACCCACACTTTCCTGTTGCACACATTCCCATTCTAAGGAGGCTTGAATTTCTGCACTAAGAAAACATTTTATTTGTTCCCAGGTAGCCTAGCAGTTAAAGGGAGTAACTGCAGGCCAAGGATTAAATCTCATCTCAGTTCAAGAAAGGGACTTGAAGAACTGTCAAGTTTCTTTTTCTCACACCCTCTAATATTTTGAAAGCACTTGCATTCATTCTGATAGAGTGAGAAAAAAATTAAATAGAAACTGAACAATTGCACAAGATGGAAAAAAAAATCCTAACGTAGCTCTGACTATACGATGTGTCTCTAACCTTTTTAGGCTGGCATACTTCAGCTCTCTGAATAGCAAATAGATGAAGCTTTAAAATAATTTGCTTTAAAACTGCATCTCACCCACACATGAACTAGTTAGACTCCTTTAATTAAGTGAGGCAACTGCAGACATCCCTCTAACCCCATCCTAGAGCCCTAAGAGTCAGGTATTTCAGAGGACCTGACGAATAGTGGTAGGATAAACACACAGATAAATCTCCCACTCCCGTCTCTCCCCCAAACTTTCTTTAGAAGCCTCACGAGTTATTGGATAGCATGGTCTATACATCTTGCAATGTATAGACACAGCTGTCTTTTCCACGCTCCTACCTGGTCCTTCTGACCTATTTTTTAACTATGAGGACCACAACATTTTTTGACCAGAAACTCATGGATTTTCTCCAGCAGTGCTGTTGCTATGCTCTTTACTTACAACGAAACAGAAATGAGACTGAACTTCGAATGTTTATTACACTCATTCCTCTCTCTCCCCCCAGGCTATTTGCTTGCCTGCACGTGTGGGAACATGTGCAGAAGGGAGTTGACTTGGTATCTTGCAAACACTTCACAGTTGTACTGTCTTATGGACTGCTAGTGATCCAGAAACAGCAGATTGTGAAATACCAGTGGGGCAGACAGAACGAAGAAAGCAGGAGTCAGTAAGGCTATTCAGATAATGCTCTCCTCCTCTTGTCAATTGTATAAAACTAGATTATTACAACTGGAAGGCCCCACAGATAGGGCACTACAAGCAGCATGTGAGATATAAAACAGGGGCATTCACACGCTGTGGTTGTGCAGAAAGCTTTCCTTGCCACCAGAAAGGAAGCGTGGGCACAGAAGTCTGCAAAGCACTGCTCTAGAGTGCTCATACGAAACCAAACCAAATAAACCAGGACTGTTTAGTACAGTTAGCAGCTGTACAGGATATCCAACAGACAAAATACTTTTGTGCTGTTACCAACACGTCTTTTTCCCCAAAAGAAACTCTGCAACTACTATGGACATGCAGATTCCTAAATGCCCAAACAGCTGCCCTTGGGTTTTTTCCCCCCCAAACGTACCTTGACGGACACACTGTCCTTCAAGGGCCTACTTCTTGTGCTGTAATACAACCTTCTTTATAATTTTAACCTCTGTTAATGCATTGGAGTTGCTGCTCACATTTGCCGGGAAGAAGAGGGAAACAAGGTACATAGAAGCTATGGACATATGGCTTGGACAGGCGATCTCTTTGCTGGGTACAAAACTGGCTGGATGGCTGGGCCCAAAGAGTGGTGGTGAACGCGATTAAATCCAGTTGGCGGTCAGTTACAAGTGGAGTTCCCCAGGGCTCAGTATTGGGGCCAGTTCTGTTTAATATCTTTATCAATGATCTGGATGAGGGGATCGAGTGCACCCTCAGTAAGTTTGTGGATGACACCAAATTGGGTGGGAGTGCTGATCTGCTTGAGGGTAGGGAGGCTCTGCAGAGGGGTCTGGACAGGCTGGATCAATGGGTCGAGGCCAATTGTATGAGGTTCAACAGGGCCAAGTGCCAGGTTCTGCACTTGGGTCACAACAACCCATGCAGCACTAAAGGCTTGGGGAAGAGTGGCTGGAAAGCTGCCCGGTGGAAAAGGACCTGGGGGTGCTGGTTGACAGCCGGCTGAACATGAGCCAGCAGCGTGCACAGGTGGCCAAGAAGGCCAAGAGCATCCTGGCCTGTATCAGAAATAGCGTGGCCAGCAGGAGCAGGGAACTGATCGTGCCCCTGTACTCAGCACTGGCGAGGCTGCACCTTGAATGCTACGTTCCGTTTTGAGCCCCTAAAAGAAAGACACTGAAGTGCTGGAGCATATCTGAAGAAAAGCGACAGAGCTGGTGAAGGGAAGACTTATGAGAAGCTGTGGAGGGAACTGGGGTTGTTTAGCCTGAAGAAAAGGAGGCTGAGGGGAGAACTTATCGCTCTCTACAACTACTTGAAAGAAGGTTGTAGTGAGGTGGGTGTCAGTCTCTTTTCCCAAGTAACAAGTGATAGGACGAGAGGAAACAGCCTGAAGTTGCACCAGGGGAGGTTTAGATTGGATATTAGGAAAAAATTTTTCACTGAAAATGTTGCCAAGCACTGGAACAGGCTGCCCAGGGAAATGTTTGAGTCACCATCCCTGGAGGTATTTAAAAGACATGTAAATGTAGCACTTCGTGATATGGTTTAGTGGCAGGCTTGGCAGTGTTAGGTTTACTCGGTGCTAGGTTGGACTTGATGATCTTAAGGGTCTTTTCCAACCTAAATGATTCTATGACAATTCTTGTTAACTCACAGGGATATCCCCAGTGTAAACACAGTGTGAGACAACAGCTCAGCTCCTGTCATCACCTTATGTACAAGCAGTACCTGAACAGATCTCCTCCCATCTAAGACTACAAAGCACAGCGGAAGCATTTTTTTTCCCTGTCAAGAGCAGGATTTTATTTTCCTGGAAAAATTCTGTATCTAATTTCACCATCTCTGTGCTGCCTTTTCATCACCACCTGTGAAAGTCTCTCCCATGGACCACAAGACCCTTGTGATAATGGTAGCAGTGTCCTGAAAATGCACATCTAGTACTGGAGTGAATTTGCCAAAAAGGCAGCATGTCCAAGGCCACAGCCTCTGCTGCTGGCCTAAGAGACAGAAGTGCAAACAGTCCTGGCAGGGGAAGGGACCTCTGCAACAAAACCAAAGCATAAGTCCAAATGCATTTATTTACCAACTTTCCTTTCAAAAGGACTGCAGAGTACTCTAAGAACCCTGCGTAAAATGACTATTTATGCCACATGGATGCTGAGCACACTGGGTTCATCACATTTTACAACAGTATGGTATACTGCCAAATAAAATTAGAGCGAAAATGAAGGAAGCAGAAAGCAACTACTTCAGAACAACAGAGTAAGCTACTCCAACTTGCAAAAATGCTATAGTTTCTTTTGCAACAAGCATGAGACTTTTCAGCTGATGCATCACTAGGTAGGTAGTACTGCAGGCTACAATAGCTAATAGGTCCGCTGTGGGACCTTGGGGAATGAATGCTACCTGCCAAAGCTCCTAGTGCTTCTCTCCAAAAAATACAGGTTTGCTTTGCAAAATGTCTGATTCAAGTACATCAGCAGCCAAAACCCAGAAGTCATACAGAGTTTAACGCTGCTGAAAGGAAAAAGTTCCCATCTGAGGATATACAAGTCCACAAGGAATTAACTCTGATTTCAGAACAGAAAACACCAGTCCCATAAATCAAATTTTACAAAGACCAAAAGGAACTGCATAGGATTTTGAAAAATTTTAAAGCTTCCTTTCTGGGCTACTAACCTACATTTAAAGCAACAGTACAGAAGACTTCTACTATTAAAAAAAAGTTCAATTTTTAAAAAACAGCTGTGCTACACAAATGCCATTATCTTAGCTGTTACCTCTCAGCTATAAAATACAGCTACAGGATGGGCAAATTTAGGGCACCATGTAAAACAGACATTTGAAGTTTATTAATTTCTTGACTCTCAATTTAACTTCCTTCAAGGAAGCTAAAATCCAAATGCACAAAGCCAGGTTGTTATCCTAGATTTATTTCTTCTACCACAGTTTCTGAGAAACCATGCCTAACATACATTTTTTATTGTATTAGTATTGTCTAGCATTAATAGTCTCTGACTTCGTGGGGATGTCAGTTTCTGATCTCAGATCACTAAGTTTTGCTTGGGCTGCAGCATATTTTTAAAATCAAAACTAATTTTAATTTGTTTTTTAATATTTTTTTTTAAATAATCAAAGTAAGCCAGCAAAAGGCTGTCTTTGGTAATTTGCTCCTATTATTTGCCACTCTCAGTACTAAAGAGTGATCCACTATGAACCATGACATCTTTAATTTCCAGACACTGGCCTTACAGAATTACTTCCAGTGTAGCACTTCAGCCTCATTAATACAAGCTTACAAGCTTGAATGATGCTAGCAAGGTCAAGGTTCAAAACACTAAATGATAAGTTAACAGAAAGACTTCAAGAAGTTACAATGGAGCCAGAGCTACACTCCAGCCCCTGACAAAATCTTGTCAAGCTCTAAACCTTTGCACAGACTGGCATTGCACAAACTGGCAATGACCACATGTCAAATGTGGCAAGGCAGAGAACTGCATTCAAAGATAAAGCCACCATAAGGCTTTTAGTACTCGGGTTCCATCATTTTGACTGCTCTAATGAAAAAGTAGGTCAATCTTTCTCATTAAAAATATTTAAATGCTTCGCTACCAGAAGCTCATTGAAATATCAATCTCCTGCTACGACAGAGATCTGCGGGAGCAGATTTACATCAATACCCACCTGTCAATAGAGTCACTGACTTAAGACCTACACAAAAGCCCTCCTAGTTACAGGTTTCTGACCCCAGAATACCTACATACATTAGGAGGGAGAATTTACAAATAAGATTAATCTAACTTCCCTCTCCCCTAATGAAGTGCACATGCTCCATTCACCAAGTCCCAGCATGCCGCAGCACCTGAGCAGCTGCTGAGCTTCCTTTGATTATATTCAGGGGTGTGTTCCCCTCCTCTGAGGATAGTGTTTTGCTTCCCAAATAAAGCATACCCTTCGTAGCAGGATATTCCATTTGTAAAGATGTCTGACTTTCCAAATTTGGGCTCAAACCAGCTATCATCACAGTCACGAGAGAAAGAAAAGGTCCCCTATGGCCACCTAGCAGTACCCCTATGACAACAACAGCTTTTCTTCCATACACAGAGGACTGAGAGTGTATGACTTCGGGTCAATCATTCTCACAACAGCCATTTAATCCATTTTAATAGAAAGAGCTGCGAACCGTTAGCAATCAGGCCCAGCAATCTTTAACCAGCCAGAATGACAGCAGTACTGGTCTTGCTCCTAGACAGAGGATAACATTTTGCTAGGGGAAGTGGGAAAGCTACAGTTTATCTTAAACTGACAGCACTACTCATGCAGAAACCCCACTTACAAGTGTTCTGCTGAATCTACATCCAGGTGCTTCTCTTTTCCATTGGGTATACTGTGGTCAATGACTATTGTTTCAGTGTTGGCTAAACAAAATCCATTTGACCGCATAATTTCTGTCAGGAGAAGAAAGAAAACAAGATTAAAAAAAAAAAAAGCTAGAAAACAACTGCATATCTCATGTAATTGATACAGCTATGAACCGAGATGTGTGCATCACACTGAAAATCTACACATGAAAGTAGGAATGAGGAGTTGGTTTCACAGCTTCTTACATTGCAAACGACTAGTGCTTAAGAAATTTTATTCACATAATCAATTCATGACACAGAGCATTTGAAGCAAGGCCCAGTTTCAGCCCTGTTATTGCCCGTGGTAAAATTCCCATCACCCTCAGCAGAACGGCAGCCCATCCATATACTGCCACCTACCACTACCAAAACATAATTGTATTTTTCCTAGGCAGTCCCAGGCTTAAGCCAGTTAAGCAAAAATTAAAGAGACACGAAAAAGGAAATAAAAAGTTACCTTCTGAGTCACTTCAACCACCATCTTTAAGTCATGTAAAACTATACCATCTCTTCTACACTGCCTTCCACTCTATTTGTTTCTTACTATGTAAGAAGCCTCCAGTCCAGAATAGCTAAAATTCACACTTAATTCCACTGACTTACTACCATTGGGAGAGTTTATCATTAAAGAATAGTACTTGATGTGAATGAGAAGTTAATCCACGTCTGTGCAACATGGAAAGGCAAACTAGGCAAGTCATGAGGATTTCTTTCAGTTACACAATCTTAGATGAAGCTAAGGCCACCACAAAATGAACATCGGTCTCTAGATAAATCAGCACTGACTTAAGTGGGATGACTCATGATCTGTCTCAAGGTATGAGGACCCTGTGTTACACCCTTACATCATCAGCCCAAACGAAAGAAAATTAGTCTGTGGCAGAACACATGGCAAGCACAAAACATACATACAGGGAATCTTTAAACAAACAAGTTTCAACTATACATACAGTTCAAGTAATGAGCAGGGGACGAGATAGGAGAAAGAAGGGAGGTAATTTTTTAAAGCATACGTTTACATGTTCCAACATTAATGTAAAGCCAGAGCTCACTTCCATATTTTTCTTGATAATGTCACCTTTGATTTTCAGTCTGTATTTTACTGCGACTCACTTTAGCAGAATACATTTGGGGGTGGTAAAAACACTGAACCCCAGCAGAAACACACTTCACTCATGGCTCATCTTGAGCCAACACTGTACTGCAGAATAAGATTTACACCATAAATTCAAATTCAGCTTTCATCTAAGAGGGCAGCCCTTTCTCTCTTCCCCATCACCTACCATTCTGAAACTGTCCCCCACATGGTTCTGTTGTCTTATCAGAGAATACAAAATATTTGTGCCTGCTTTTCTAAGTCTGCAAGCCATGTAGAAAGCTGCACTATGACTAACATGAATGCCACAGTGTTTTCCTAGCGTCCTTGACATGACCCGAGTTACAGCATTTCATTGCTGTGTGAACTGCTTTAGACGTTAACATTTACTGCCATCTACTGACAATGCCGCAGACACTGAAACCATTTCCAGTGTGCAACATTCAGACAAGGCAAATATCAATTATCAAATTTCCACTTATGTTCTTGAATTCTTTGCAGCAATCACTTAAATGATAAAACTAATCAAGACAAGATGCTTTTGGATAGCTGCAGAGGTAGGAAAATCTTCCTACAATTAATTAGATATGACTCATCTCTACCAAAATTAATTTAGGATTAAAACAAAGTATGTTGTTATTATTCAGTTAATGTGGTTTCCACAGCTTCTCTACATAGAGGCCGGCAGGAGGGTTCCCTTTGCTGCTAGCCTCTGTCCATCAGCCAGGCACCCTCACTCTGCATTTATGTTCATCTTGACCATCTCTTGGTTGTACCCACCATGTGACATGCTCACTCATGCACACACAGAGTACACGTGCCCTAAGGGAGTACACACCCTCACAAAAATTCTACAAAACCCTTCCAAACAGCAAAAAGCCCCAAGCTAGAGCAACACTGCCATTTCTAACCAGTGCAAGTCCAAATAAATTTATTCTTGATATTTGCCTGTTTGAAAAAGAACAAGATACCACCCTTTGAAATATTTTTACAGTATATGGTTTGGGGATCCTTTATTTCATAAGGGGCAAGTGCTAGGACCCACTTTTCAGGAATTTTACCTGAGATTTCCACATGGACTCAAGACATCATCCAAACCTCCCTAACCACAGATGGGGCGTGAGACACACGTTGGCTCCTGTCTCTCACTCCCAGGAAGCCAGATCTGCATCACCTCCTGTTGCAGTTTGGCCCCAGGTGCTCTTCTTTACAGTCCCTGTGCCGCACTGCAGTCGGAGCTCGGCAGGCCCTACAAGGCGGCACCAGCCCAGACAGGCTGGCAAGACCACACTTCTCACTGAGGCTCTGCACTACACTGTATACTTCTGAAGAGTTATTGGTAGGCTCATAAAACATTCGCCATTTCATTGAAAGAATATTTAACAGAGGACTAGTTTGTTTAGAACCAGAGCTCCAGATCAATTACAAAAAAAAAAAAAAATCTACCTTGTGTGTAAGGTCGATCCTTAAGACACACCGTTTATATCTTTAGCATGTTGACATGCTGACTGGCCATGAACTGATGCACTGTTAGTACCTCAGAACACTGCTACCAGTTTCACACTAAACACTTATTACACCTTGGAGATCTATGTAGTATTTTACTCTCTGAAATAATCTCTTCTGGCAACACAACAACAGCAGTTAGGCTTGCATGAAACATTTCAGTACAGAAATACAAAACCAGGCACACCAGAAGTCCACAAACCTTTTAACAACAGTCATTGGCAGACGCAGAGGGGAAAGGCCGAAAGAATAGGCAAGGATAGAGCAATACTGCTCTCCACTAGCAGTTTGTGGCTTAGAAACTTCCTGTGTCTCCACCAGTGACAGATCTGAATTTACTTTTCCTCCACTTATTTGTCTAATTCCTATTTGAAGTGATTTATGCTTTCAGCTCCAACATATTCTACAATTAGTTCCACTCCTTAACTTTTGGTATTGCATAGAAACAAAACAATATTATAACCTTTCTTTTGTTTGTTTAAAGCCTGTTGTCTGTCAACATTATTGGATAACCTATAGTTCTTGTTTCACAGGAAGTACGGGGTAATAGACCTCTTTCTATTCACAATTTTGTAGACTTCCTTCATATCCCCATACTGTGATCTCTTCTCAAAGTTGAGGTGTCCTTCTTTATCTAACCTTCTTCTTAGAGAAGCTGTTCAATTATTTGAATCCTTGTCCTTTATTTATATGCTTTTAAATTTTATTATATCCTTTCTGAGATGGAGAGACCAGAATTACGCACACTGTATTCAAGATGTGGTGATGCTCCTTTCCTAATAAATATCTAATATTCTCACTGCTGGTTTTGCTCACTGCTTAGTATTGAATTTACATTTTCACAGAACTGTATCAATACCCTCAACATCTCTTTCCTAAGTGGCAACAGCACCATCATATGTGACGACAGTGAGGACTGCATCTTCCTCACATCCACTTCCTTGCATTTATCAGCTTTCGATTTCACCTGCCACTTTACTGCCTGAATGCATGTTGCATATTATGTCAAGGCTAATTATATGTTCTATATTGTAAAGCAGACTATGGAGAACTATCTTTTGAATTGCTGCTGGAGAAAGAATAAGGGGAGCAGCAAATAAAGTAATTTTCATCATGTAATTCTTGTGTCAAATGTAGGAAGCTAATAACTCTTACCTGATATTTTAACTGGACTTTGAAAGCTTGGCTGAATCTTATGGACATTGTCATTTTTTAGAACTTGGTCCAAAGGAGATCTCTCAAAGAATGTGAGGACAACTTCAGATCTTGAATACTTCAAAAGAGAAAAAGAAACAGACGTCCATTTTTACCAAGGGTTTGCATTGTCCCTCTTCTCCCTTTCCACTCCTTGGCAGAACGACAGAAAGATTTATTACAAGCAACAACCTGGAGACATCATTACACAGTTCTGGCACTCAGCACCTCTCCAAGATACTCAATAGACTGCCGCATCTTTTAGAGTTTGGCAAAACCCATCACTTTCTAATCTGCATAAGAGTGCATGTCACCATCAAGGACGAGTCAAGCTGGGCTAAATATAGAACTTGACCTACCCACCTTCCAGGGCATGTTTATAATAGTCTTCAGAAGCTTTTCCACTTCATTAAGTCTGGCTTCTATGTCATGGGCTTCTTTTATTGTGATAAGCCCTAGAAACAAAGTAAACAGATTGTGAGCATAGACAAAAGCACACTGAGGTGAACACACACACTTCAGCAGCCAGAAGCAGCCACTCAAGAAGATGTGGAACGACCTCAGATAGCGTGCCTCCCAGAAATGTCTTTTAACCCACACTGATGACAAAGCGTGTACTCCAAATTGAGGTGGGTGTAGTTACAAGCAGAGTTGCAAGGCTGACACAAATTCAGCTGTTTATGATCATATTTAGGAGTTGCAAGACAAGCAGGAGTAGAACCGCCTACTCCCTCACCCATGGTTTCACTATAAAGCATTCCCAGCAGTGATAATCAAACAGCCTATTTTCTGCTTCCAAGAACCATGATTCATCCTTTTTCCTGTCAATAAAAAGCAAAAGAAAACCCAAGAAAACCAAAAGACACAACCCGTATATAAGAGCAAAGAACTAAACACAAGCTAAACAAAAGGCTTTGAGGGCAGTCCTGTGTTTCTCTGAATGTAAGCCCCAGCGAGCAGCCCAAGGAAGATTTCTCAGTAGCATGTTCTTCAAGTGTAAAATGACCTTTTGGGATTTTCTTATTTTTTTTTAATCACTGAATTATCACAGTGCTGCAGAAGGGATTAAAACGGAAATTTTGCTGTCCCGTGTCCAGAATGATGCATTAAAATGCTTCGACTTTTGAATTGCCCAATATGGGGATCTTCAATGTAATACTGTACTTCATACATATAACCTGCAGGACATCTGCAACTTCCCTCTCCTCTAGCAGACTCAGAGAAATATAGCACAGGTTATATACAGGGAATATAAGGAGAAGTAATCCCCAAAATCTTGCATCCTTCTAGCAGCCCTTTTATTTCTGATCTTTGTAACCTACTTTTTCTAACCCAATCATTGTTTTGCCTCTACATTTGCGTGTCTTTTCCAAGAAGCAGGATACATGGATGAAAATTAAATACGTAAGAGATTATTAAATTTAACAAGCTCCATGGGTCAAAAAAATCAAAACAAAACCAACAAAAAGCTGGAGCAGAAAGAGACCCAGTAAATTAAAACACTCAAAACTAAAAATCTGCAAAGCAGTCTGTGAGAAACTACTTCAATACACTAAAACTGCATTAAACCCAGTGCATCTCCATCTCCCTATTCAAAAGGCAAACGTACAGAAAGAGCCATCAAACATACACAGTGTGGGGACAACATCCACAAAACGTCAGTCTGCATCACTCCTTGCTGTTTGTTACCGACGAGTTTTGATCCCATACAAACTTTCCAAACAAAAGTGTGATTTTGAAGCTGTCAGCTCTCCTCCAACTACAGCTCCAAATAAAACTGAGATTGTCTCTGGAGCAACCAGGTTTACTTGATGGTTGTCCCACAAAAGTAGCCTGGCTGCATAAGCCTTTCTATTGCTTGACAGTCCCTCATTTTGCCTGGTGTTGTCAGCATCGCTACCATCTCACCCTGGAGCAGAGCATACTAGCAGGCATATAAGAAACAGCTTTATATCCTGCTTTGATCAGTGTACACTACAGTCGAGTAGCTTTGCAGGGAAATGCTCTGAAAGGCTGTAAATGCGAATTAACTAATCTGCATGGGTCCTCAGACTGCGTGTTAGCTGGGTTGTGCTTAACGTTACAGACCTGAATTGCAGACCAGCACCCTTCATCTTCCTAACTACTGGGTGTGAGCAGGCCTGGGTGGATCTGCTTCACCCCTCCTCAAATATGTTTCCCATCCTACATCTGAACAAGGTTCAAATCTTTCAAAAAGGGTGTTTTAATTTCCCTAAAAAAAAGAAAAGCTGCCAAAGGCCCCGTGACTCAGACACCCACCTATGATGTTAGAAACATGCTGTCGCCCTGCCACAGCCCACATCAGAGAAAACTGAGCTAGCCACCATGGTGCCAGCTACCATGGGATGCCTCCACTTCTCCTTATGGTTTTGCTCCAGTCTATGTAAATACTGACACATTCAGAGCAGAGACTGCCCGACTGTGGCGCTCACCTTGCAGGTAAACACCTCATCGCTGACTCACCTGGGATTCAGCATTCAGCTGCTCTCTCAAATCCATCCTCAACCTCAGACCCTTTACCAAACAAGCATTTACTGTTGAAACTAGTATTTTACTAGGAAGAGGAATACTTTTAAACAAACTAAGATATTCAGACCAGGGTGGGGGGAAGAAGGAAAAAAACACCTCACCAACAACACTGAGCATTCATCCTGTGAGGAAAACCAGCCAAGTAGTTAGGATTTTCTCTCATTAGTAATCATGGAAAGCATCTGCAGCTCCACACAGCCTTTTTGTGCTCCAGCAAGAGAAGTCGGACAAGGCTGTCAGCCTGTCGCACTGTCACAGATCACTCAGTGGGAGGTTTTACAGCTTCTTGCATTTACCGGGAATTTCCAACCCTGGTATATTCCTCCTTCCAGCTCTCGGAAAGGCACAAGCCATGCAAACCCACACTCCAATCTCGAAACTGGCAAAGACATCTTGTAACATCTGACATGATAAAAAACGTTTCTCACTGAAGCTTTCAGCAATATCAAAACCAAAACACAGACAGCGTAGGAAGGAGTGTGATACATCTGCCTGGACAGCTTCCTATATACGTGCTTAGTGATTACAGATGCACAGCTTTGGGGTATAAAGCTGCTGACCTTACATGAATCCCCTGTACAGGGAATTCAGTTTGGCTGGGCTAAAGTCTGCAGTTCAAATACACAAAAACCACTTGACCGGCTATATATATACTGAACCCTGTAATTTCTTCTGCAATAGCCACAAAGTTTGTAAGGCCCTCATTTATCTTAATTCTAAAAGTCTCTGTTTTTAAGAGTTAACAGATGCCCTTGCGGTTTTCAGCTAGTCATAGCCTATAATCCCACAAACTGAAGGACTGCTCACAACCCCACAGCCACGCTAACTGGAGCAAGGCATTGCCTGCCCAAGCAGCCGAGAAGAGAGAATGCCCCGGTCCCTCCTTTCGCTCCCTCTCAGCACTTGCTAACTGGCTGCTGTCATCAACCACAGCACACACATGCATGAGGAGCACTACGTTTTCACAAGGTGAAGTCTCCAGCACCAACACTGGTTTAAGGTGCTCTCACCCTCCCCTGCAACTCATTTCCTCTCCCACACCACAACAGAGGCTGCTGCTGCTTTGCCAGCACAATTAGGTGAGCAGTAGGGCATACCTTGAACAGCTCTTGTCAAAAGCTTTACCTCAGGAAACCCCAGCCTTCACAGAAGCAGCAACAGACTGCAGGCTAGGATGGCCCATAGAAGCTCCTTTCTCACACAGGCACTACACTGAGTTTGAGCAGGAATCAGGACATGTGTAAAGAAGAGTCACAGAACTGTACCCAAGCTTTCCATTCTTTTTTTCTAAGAAAAAAAAGCCAGAGAATGGTGTAGGATCTCCAGATGCTGGAAATGCCTGAACGGACAGACACACACACATGCCAGCTGACTCTGCAGACAGAGCCCAGCACCTCCACCATTCATTCACCCTGACACAAACGCACCACAAGCTGGATGCATCTGGAGTGCATGGGACTCACTGGCCACGTGTGCAGCATCCATACGGCAGTTACAGCATGTCCTGAGGCTGTTGTCTCTGCCCACGGACCATGAATACATGCCTATCTTTCCATCTGGGGCTTTTAGACCCCAAGAATCCTTTTTCAGATAGTTTGCTAAAAAATATAAATAAGACACCAGTAAAGCAACCAGTAGCCTGGAACCAGCTGTGCTTTCTTCCACTTGTTCAGTCATGCAACAGAGCTGAGCTCAGAGACGGGAAATCTCGTAGTGAGGTCATGGTGAAAGGCTGTTCTCATGCCTTTTCCTCTGCCCTGGCCCCTGTCTGACTGCTAATGGAAAACATGCACAAACTCCTCCCAGGAAAACTTTGCTCTTGTCTTGTTACCCATACTGTGCTTGGACAATTAACTACCATTTCAGGTGATTTAAATGCTATAAACACCTGTGTTTATAGGGGTTGAGGTAAACTGGAGCCCCATTGGCTCCTTTCTTACCACAAACCCTGTTGCCAAATACCACAAACCTCTAAGATTTCTTCACCCTGCGCACAAGGGAACTCAGATGGTGGGTGACAGGAGGGATAACAGCACCTAACCCAGGGCAGCACTCATGCGCACCCTGGGATATTTGCTTTTATCAGGGTTCTGCTGTGTGCACAACCCCTGTAGTCAGCAACCTCATTCAAGCCCTTTGACATCTCCTTTGCCCCTTTCCAGACCAAGAGCCCCAGGCAGAGTCCTTAAGACTAGTTGAAAAGGATTTGCGTTCAGTTTGAGACCAAGCATACATAGCAACTTTACTCATAGCAACATGCCTCCGGAAAAACACGGCACAAACAGCACCAGAGGCCTGCAGCCTCCTTCCTGCTCTGGGACCCTGGTGCCAGAGCAGCTGCAGGAGGCTGAGAGTGCAGGCCAGCAGCTGCATACCTGGCACACTGGCTCATGGCGTGGGAGAGGGGTCCAGAGCTGCAAACGAGCAGGAAATAATCTCAGCAGAGGAGGAGAATGAACTGGGAGCCAATTTGTGATGTCAACACACAAACCTTGGTAGGCCTGTCCTATTACTGCCATATGAGCCACCAGATCTCCAAATAACGACATTTTGACAACGACAGATAACACGCTGCATGCTTCTACCAAACAAAGTGGGACAGGAATCACAGCATGTGCCCCACAGCTCATAATGAAACCACAACATAGTCCTGACAATCAGTGTCCACGATGAGCACATTGTCTCAACAATCCTCTAGCACCTTCCAAGGAAGAGTAAGTTCATGACTAAGTCAAGTATGTCTCATATGCCATCTCTCAATGATGACACATAAAAGTCTGTTTTTCTGGAAATGTGTTGCTACGTACAAGTCACCATGTATACATGATCTCAAACTGTGGGCAAACCCTATTTCTCCAATCTGAAGGACTCCACTTAGGCTTGTGGTCAGGAGAGGAACAACGACTGTCCAAGAGTTCTGCTTTCTCAAAATCAGTTCAAAATGTAAAGAAAGCCAAGCAAGAGCAGAAGCCAAGGCATACTTTCTGAAGATGTGTGCAAGACAGAATGGCAATACTCCTAAATTCTATGTATTTTAGTATGTACATGAAGATTAAAATATCGCATTGAGCCCTCCTCATCTAATCTTCTCTTCAGCCCCTACAGGAAGACTGTGGAGCAGATATCAAAGTAAAAAAAAAAAAAAAAAAAAAAATAAATCCAGGGAGAAACCTTACTGTATTCTGCTAACCTGAATGGCAAGAAAGATTTAAGGCCTACAGATTGAGATCTTGAGCTCATCTTTCTCTCTTTGCACAAGCCCATGAACAGCAGTTGGAGATTTCAAATCTTTAGGGAAGACACATAAGCTGTCTGGAACAGCAGACTGCTACTCTACTCTCTCCCCTAACCAGACTGTATGGCTTCAACAGGACATATGCCCCCCTTCCCCAGTTACAGTATTCATTAACGCTACAGTGCTCAAGCTTTTTTATCCTGTACCGTCATTCCTCCTTTCCCTCATATATGTTCTAACCCACGTGCACACACACACAATTCAGAATGTAGATTGAGCAATAGCTCCAGCCCTGAGAGGAGGTAAGCAAAAATCACAGAATAGTGTCCAATAGAAGTGTTCAATGTGGTTCATCCAAAGCAGGGCCAGATCAGGCTGCTGGCGACCATATCCAGTCAACCTCTGAACATCCCCACGGACAGATATTCCACAGAATCATGGAGGATCTGAAGCTACTCAGCTGGGATACGAATCAAGGCTGAAAGGTGGCAATTCAGCCTGATGTTTTCTGCCATTTTGCTCCTTTGCACTGCTTCCCATTTCCTCCCTCTGCTGAACTGGGCACTTCTCAGTACTTCAGCTGGCACTTTTCCCTGCTTCATGGCCACAACACCTCACTCCTCCCAGCAGCTGCCCTGGTAGCACCCCTCCTCACTGCAGACACACATTCCCTCAGCCTCACTGCCTGGGAACCATGGTATTAGCCACCTCAGACTGGACTCTGAAGAGGCCAAAATAGCTCCCACTGACAGCTGCCTCCTCTCTGATGGAGGAGAATAGGATAAAAGGTTGTTAGAAGGTTCAAAAAAAACAGCAGATGAGAAAGCTTGTTTCACACAATTTTTCTTCACTAACTCTGCATAAATAACACTGCAGGAATCCCTTAAGTCCAAAGACTTGATAAGATCCAGAGAAGGGCAGATAATTGCAGGCAATGAGCGATATCAGATCTTCAATTACTAGAGACCAGGACTGTCATTTTTCTGTTCTCTGCTGGTTATTCATGTTGTCTTCTGCAGCATCTGGTTCTCATCACTAGGGACAGGATCCCAGAGCTAGCTATGGCACTGGTCTGACTTAGTCTGGCAGCTCTGGCAACTCCTCTTTGATGCCTCTCGCCTAATTCTATAACACCCCTCTCAAGACAGACATGGGGAAATTCATCCATCTCATGTGACAAGAGTCACTACAATCTCTAAAGCCTTTACAAAGGGTTTGCTATTTATACAGAATCACTCACAAGATCCATCTTGGTGGCATTACTTACGGAGCAGCTAAAAGGATACAGTGGAGTTGAAAAGAGGGGTGCAGGGAGGTGGATTTTGAAATTTGTTATACATTGGGCTGCCCTTGATGTTGAGGAACAGAATAGGAACAGGTTGTTGGTTTGGGGTTTTTTTGGGTTTTGGGGGGTTTTTTAAGAGGTGTGAGTACGCAAAGCGCACATATGTCACTCCATACTCTTAGAAGTCCCACTAGGTAGCAGCGAGCATATTGAAGATAGTGAGAGAAATCTGTTAGATGCAGAAAGATAGAGAGCTTTCAAAACCCTGCCCGCACTGCACACACCTAGCTCTAACACAAGGGCCATTTCTTCTTTTGCCATTCATATGCAGCACTTAAAAAAACAAATGAAGCAAAAGTCCTATCCAAACAAATGTCCGACTGAAATCTCCCAGAGCAGAGGTTGTGACCATGACCACCTGAGGATCCTAGCACACTCAAATATCCATGCAAAGCAAGGAGGCAAGTTAAAAGCTTGAGATGTCCAGACCCTCCAGCCGATGGGTTTTCCACACATGTATTATTAGTTAAGGGATCTCCCAGGTTCTTTGGAGTGGAGACAGCACCTCCTGGTTACAGAACTCAGCTGACAGACTTTCCCCAGAGAGCTCCCTGTCTTGATGCCTGATAAGCCACATGAAAGAAAAAGATGTCAAAGAAGCAGAGATGAAAACAAAAGCAGTCAAAGCCTGATGAAAAATGCAAGCTCCTACAATCATTTTTAGCGCTGATTTCTTATCAGGTGAGAACGGTCATGAAGAAACAACCTCATTTCCACTCCTTTCCACCAAAATCCTCCCAGACACATTGCCTCGCTCCACCACAAAGAGGCAACTTGTGCCTAGCTTTATTAACAACACAGCCAGCTTCATTTATCGCCATCATTATCAATGAACCATGAAATTCAGCTAATAAAACAAACCCAGAAGCCCCAAACTTAATTTTGGTTATACAGCGCTGCTAGGGCCTGATAACCAAGAGCTGCCTCCTTTGTCTGCCAGACAGAAGCTCTGAGCAAGCGCCACTAATGAACTGTTGACAATGTCAACAATGAAAAGAGCACAATAGATGCAGTGTATTTATCTGTATTGTCACAGCACCAAAACAGCTGCTGTCTGTGGAAACCACTGTGCTGCTTCTGTCGAGCTCCCTCTTCTCGTAAATCACACTCCCAGATGGTTTTGTAAACAACAACAATGCTATAATGCAGCACATAGGAAACCATAAGTTATGAATGCGACATTTGCAAGCAAACATAATGTTCCTGGACCAGCTCTTCACAAACTGCCTTCCGCTTTGTGCAAGCCCTTCAAATGGCAGCCCTGAAGGAGCTTCCCATGTGCTTCCTGGTGCATAGCCACTCGCACTCAGAAAACAGCCGATCATCTGCTCCCCACATGAGGCAACCAGGCCAGAGGGCAGGCACACGCCTCGGAGCTAGAGTTTAGCATTAATCATCTGGGAAGGACTGCTCAGGGTCTGCTGCAGGTGAAGTGACTACCTCTATGCTACGAGGCAAACTACAGATGCAAAAGTTCTGTAGGAAATCTCCACCACTGCTGGAGAACTTCTATGGATGGACAGCGGCTTAGCACCAGCAAAGCAGGAGGGAACAGAAAAGTTCTGAAGAGCCACAGATAACCACGGATGGCAGCAAGCTGGTGAGGGAAACCTGGAGGCAAAGACAGGGAACAGAAAGCGGCTCAGGGAAAGAAGCAGAGAGGAAAAAAAAACCCAGAAAAGAGTAAGGGCAAAAAAAGGCCACGACAGAGCAAATGAGTCGGAGGAGGCATGAAAAGAAGGAAGGGGGAAGAAAACAAGCACTTTGTGAAGAGAGGGCCCACCTAGTAAAAAGAAAAAATAAAATCTGTAAGACCGAAGAGAGTTTGGCTCAGAGTATCAACGCAGGACCAGGTGCTACCCGTAGGCACAATATGAACAGCTACATTGGAAGAGCATCTGAGCCTCTCTTCTGATGACAAAGGTGACAAAGCAGTGGCAGAGGAGGATTGCCAGAAACCACCCTGACACTCCAAGGGCAAAACAAATCCCAACTTTGAAAGGCTGTTAACATGCCCTTCTGGTTTCCTGGTCCAGCACTTAAGGGGCTGATCCTGCCCACACTAAAGTCAGAGGCAGGTGTCTGACTGCATAGAAGTTGGATCAGGTTCTAGGATAAGTCTTAACCAAGAACCCCTTAGAAGTAATAATTAGTTAAAAGAGGAGAAAAGAAACAAAAAGAGTACTTTTCCAGATTCATAATTCACTTCCAGTGTCTATTTGGTCTGTTGCAACTATTTCTAAATCATCAATTTTAAGCTGGCTTCTAAGTCCCTAGTGCTGCCTTTCTCATGAAGACTGATTTAAATACAAAAATTGTTTATTTTGCATATAGAAAGAGACAGTTTAGGAATATTAGGCTGTGTTCTAGCTCTAAGAGTGAACTAGCCTGTGTTTTTCTGTGATCATCTTCTGTGCATTTGCCTAGAGCAAGGGATAGGCACATTTCAGACACAAATAAAATACTAGCAAGTTACTGGTAACATCACAGTGAATCATATTTATTCACCCTGCAGGTATGCACATATCTAACCTTGTTTACCAGCTTACTAGTAACATGCCTTGTGTTGTGGAACATCCTTGGCCCTTAGCTTCATAGTACCCTCCAGATGCAGAGAGTGCACTTTGGCATGTGTTGCTGTTATTAGTTATCAAAGAGAAGACCGGATTGTGTGAATGCCATACCCTCCCCTCCCTGGGACCTCCCCTCTTTCCATATCAAAGAAAGCGTAAGATGAACAGCCACCGCAGAAAACTATACCTCCCATCCTCTCCTCTGTAATCTCAAAGCACTCAGCAGCTCCAAGAAATATGGAGAGGCAGAGTGTTGTGGAAGTCAGTCCATGGGGATGAGGGGTAGAGAAAGGAAAGCAGAGGATGGGTTGCTATTGCTGAGCAAGAAAAGGCACACACTCCTGCTTAGTATGAGCTGTTTGCTGAAACCAGCAATAATGGTAACAACCAACTCTT